TCGATTTTGGAATTTGTAAGTCTTCGATTTTTCAATTGCACAATTTTTCCAATTTTCCACTTTTTTAATTTTATTTTTCAAGTGTCTGATTTTTTGGTTCTAAAATTTTTTTTAACGGCGAATTTTCCAATTTTTCGATTTTTTGAGTAGTCTTTCAGACTTTTCAATTTTGGAATTTTTGTTCAATTTTTGTTCTTGGATTTTACAATTTCTCGATTTAAAATTTCTGTTTTTCGATTTTTAATTTTCAATTTTACAATTTTGAAATTTTTACATTTTACAAATTAATCGATGTTTCCACTTTTCAATCATAAAATTGTGTAATTTTTCAATTTTCCAAATATTAAGTTTTTCACTTTTTCAATTTTTTCTTTCCTCTATTGATTTTTTTTGGATTTTACAATTTTTCGATTTCTCAAGTATTTTTCAGAATTTTCATTTTTGGAATTTTTGGATTTTATAATGATCGTCCAATTTTTTGTACTTGGATTTTACAATTTCTCGTTTAGAATTTCCCAATGTTTCAATTTTTTATTTTTTAATTCTACAGTTTTGAAATTTTTACATTTTACAAATTTATCGATTTTTCCACTTTTCAGTTTTCTTAAATTTTTGAATTTTTGTTATTTTTTCACTTTTTCGTTTTCTCTATTATTTATTTTTCGGTTTTACAATTATCCGATTTTTAATTTTTTCAATTTTTCGATTTTACAATTATCCGATTTTTCATTTTTTCAATTTGTAATTCTAGAATTTTTCGATTTTAAAATTTTTCGATTTTAGAATTTTAAAATTTGTACATTTTACAAATTGATCGATTTTTACAATTTCCAGTTTTTCGCATTCTGTATTTGTCTTTCGTTTTTACAATTTTTCGATTTTAAAATTTAAAAATTTTTCGATTTTTCAAGTATTCTGTTTCAGAATTTTCCATTTTGGAATTTTGGAATTGATAATCGTTCTTGGATTGCAGAATTTCCCAATTTTTCAATTTTACAATTTTAAAATTTTTACATTTTACAAATGTATCGATTTTTCCAGTTTTCACTTTTCAATTTGTGCAATTTTTCAAGGATTATATTTTTCCAGTTTTTCGATTTTACAATTTTAAAATTTTTCGATTTTACAATTATCCGATTTTTCAGTTTTCAATTTTTCGATTTTACAAGTTATAATTCTCCAATTTTTCGATTTTACAATTTTTTGATTTTTCAATTTTACACTTTTACAATTTTTCGATTTTTCAAGTATTCTCTTTCAGAATTTTCAATTTGGAATTTTTGGATTTTATAGCCCGATTTTTAATTTTTCATTTTTACAGTTTTAAAATTTACACTTGTCCGATTTTTCAGTTTTTCAATTTTTCGATTTTTCAGTATTGGGAACCAAAGTTTCTCGATTTAGAAAATTATAATTTCTCAATTATTCAGTTTTTCAATTCTTCGATTTTTCTATTTATATATTTTGCAATTTTCCACATTTTCAATATTTAATTTTTCAAATGTATGATTTTTCCGTTCTAAGATTTTTTTTATTCACGGACTTTCCAATTTTTCAATTTTTAAAATTTTCAATTTTACAATTTTGAAATTTTTACATTTTTCAAATTAATCGTTTTTTCGACTTTTCAATTATAAAATTGTGTAATATTTCAATTTTCCAAGTATTCTATTTTTTATTTTTTCGATTTTTCGTTTTCTCGATTCATTTTTCTTCGATTTTACAATTTTTCGATTTTTCAATTTTAAAATTCTGCCATTTTTTTCAAGTACTTTATTTTTCATTTTTTCAGTTTTTCGTTTTCTCTATTTATTTTTCGATTTTACAATTATTCTATTTTCGAATTTTACACTTCTGCAATTTTTCGATTTTTCAGTTTTACAACTTTCCTAAGCTATAATTTAGCAATCGTTTGATTTTCCAATCATCCAATTTTAAATTTTTTCAATTTTAAAAGTAATGAATTTTACTATTTTGCATTTTTTAATTTACAATTTTGCAATATTTTTAATTTTCTCAGTAGAAGAATTTTTTTAGTTTCAAAATTTTGCAAAAAATTTAAAAAATCGAAAAATTAAAAACCAAAAATTTGTAAAATTAAAATTGAAAATCGGGGACTTGTAAAATGAAAAAATTCAAAATAATGTAATTGAAAAAGTGGAAAATCGAAAAATTACAAAATTGTAAAATTGTAAAATCAAAAATTTGGAAAATTGAAAAATCCTACATATAAAATTTAAAAATGCTAAATTATAAAATTGAAGAACGGGAAAATCGAAAAATTACAAAATTATAAAATTGAAAAACAGTAAAATCGAAAATTTGGAAATTGAAATATGAAATACTGGAAAATTATTATTGAGAGATTCTGCGAAAAAATATCAAAAAATTATAAAATCGGAAAATTGGAATTTTGAAAAATTGGGAAGTGCGCAAAGTTAAAAAGAACGAAAAACTGATAAATTGTAAAATTGAAAAAACGAAAAATTGAAAATTCCAAAAATTAAAAATCGCATAGTTGTAAGTAAAAAGGAAAATTATAAAATTTAAAGAGTGGAAAATCGAAAAATTGGGAAGTGAAAAATGTGTTGAAAAACTGAAAACCAACTTAAGGAAAATGAGACATTATAAAATTGAAAAATCGATAAATTTTAAAATTCAATTAAAAAAATGCAAAATTGAAATATTAAAAACAAAATACTTGAAAAATTACACAATTTTAAAATTAAAAAGTGGAGAAATCGATAAATTTGTAAAATGAAAAAATTTCATAACTGTAAAATTGAAAAATTAAAATTGAAAAATTGGGAAATTCTAAATCGAGAAATTTTAAAATCCAAGAAGAAAAATTTGGACGATCATTATAAAATTCAAAAATTCCAAAATTGAAAAATCGAAAAATTGTAAAATCGAAGAAAAATGAATAAAGAAAACGAAAAATCGAAAAAATAAAAAATAAAATACTTGGAAAATTGAAAAATTACACAATTTTATAACTGAAACGTGGAAAAATCGATTAATATGTAAAATGTAAACATTTCAAAATTGTAAAAATGAAAATTTTAAAAACCGAAAAATCGGAAAGTCCGTGAATAAAAAAATGAAAAAGTGGAAACTTCCAAAAAATGTAAAATTGAAAACTCGAAGAATTGAAAATGGAATGATTGAGAAATTATAATTTTCTGAATCGAGAAACTGTGGTTCCCAATACTGAAAAATCGAGAAATTGTGGAAGTGTAAAATTGAAAAGTCAAAAAATTGTAAAATCGAAAAATTGGACAATTATAACTTGTAAAATCGAAAAATTGAAAACTGAAAAATTTTAAAATCGTAAAAACAAAAAACTGAAAAAATATAATCCTTGAAAAATTGCACAAATTGAAAAGTGAAAAGTAGAAAAATCGATACATTTGTAAAATGTAAAAATTTTTAAATTGTAAAATTGAAAAATTTTAAATTAAAAAATTGGGAAAGTCTACAATCCAAGAACGATTATCAATTCCAAAATTCCAAAGTGCAAAATTCTGAAACTGAATACTTGAAAAATCGAAAAATTTTAAAATTTTAAAAACGAAATATTGTAAAAACGAAAAACAAATAGAGAAAGCGAAAAACTGTAAATTGGAAAAATCGATAAATTTGTAAAATGCAAAAATTTCAAAACTATAGAACTAAAAAATTAAAAATTGAAAAATTTGGGAAATTCTAAATGAGAAATTGTAAAATCCAAGAACAAAAAATTGGACGATCATAAAATTCAAAAATTCCAAAAATGAAAATTCTGAAAAATACTTGAAAAATCGAAAAATTGTAAAATCGAAGAAAAATCAATAGAGGAAACAAAAAATTGAAAATATGAAAAACTAAACACTTGGAAAATCGAAAAATTACACAATTTTATGATTGAAAAGTGGAAAAATCGATTAATTTGTAAAATGTAAAAATTTCAAAATTGTAAAATTGAAAATTAAAAATCGAAAAATTGAGAAATTCTGAATCGAGAAATTGTAAAATCCAAGAACAAAAATTCCAAAACTGAAATTCAGAAACACTAAAAAAATCGAATAATTGGAAAATCCGTGATTAAAAAGAATCTTATAACCGAAAAATCAGACACTTGAAAAATTAAAAATTGAAAAAGCTTAAAATTGGAGAATTATAACTTGTAAAATCGAAAAATTGAAAACTGAAAAATCGGATAATTGTAAAATCTAAAAATTGGACAACGAAATATTGAAAAACGAAAAAGTGAAAAATAAAAACTTGGTAAAACTTAAAAATCAAAAAATCGGGCAAATGAAAAATTCAAAATCGTAGGTAAGTTTAAAACTTTGGAAATCTTTCGTTGCTTGAATGTTTTGTTTTTTATTTCTCACTTTTTCAATTTTTCGGTTTTGCAATTCTTGGATCAAATTCTTCATTTTTTACCAAATTTTCCGTTTCTTCAGTTTGGCCTTTCTTCAATTTTGGATATTTCAATTTTTCGGTTCTTCATTTTTTGATTCTACAATTTTTCGATTTTCCCATTTTGTGATATTTTTTCATTCTTCAGTTTTTCGTTTCTTCAGTTTTTCAGTTTTACAATTTTTAGGTTTTTCATTTTTCGATTGTTCAAAAGAATGTGAAATTGTAAAATTTAAAAATCCAAAAATTGGAAAATTAAAACTTGAGAAACCAAAAATGTAAAATCGACAATTTGGAAACTGGAACACTAAAAACCGGAAAACTGAAAAGACGAAAAGTTGGAAAATTGGAAAATTTTTGAAAAAATCACAGGCATCTTTGTTATTATTTTTTCAAGAACTTAATAAAATCTCGGGGCGGAATCGAAGAGACGAACGAACTAAATGTTATATAAATCTTAAGCGTAGATCGTTCGCAAAAACACGGAACAACACAGGACCCAACCCGAACCCTTGATTTTCTTCAATTCCCACTAACAAAAAAAAAAAAAAACCCACCCAATGTTTATATTTTCTCTAACCCTTCATCTCTTCCAGGTTCGCGACTTGGTGGCCCAATGCACCTGCCCCACCCAGTTCCCCATGATCCGCGTCTCCGAGGGCAAATACCGCATCGGCGACACCAAAGTGTTGATTTTCGTCAGGGTGAGTCCGCTTTGAAGAACACAATACCCAATTTGCATACGTACACAAGTTTGCTTTTGAAATGCTAAGTACCTCTCTGACAACCAGAGGTGACCCGACCACGAATGGTAAACAATTCCCACTTCCAGATCCTGCGCAACCACGTCATGGTACGCGTGGGCGGAGGCTGGGACACTCTCTCCCACTACCTGGACAAGCACGACCCTTGCCGCTGCCGCTCGCAACACCGGACCACCCAGGGCGCGCGCTTGGTAAACAAACCGGGAGCCGCCGACCTGCACGGGTCCCACGTGTACTACGACAGATCGGCGATGGGTGGCGTGACTGGGTGCCACACGACCAGCAACCCGTCGTCGCTGGGTCCACCCATGAACGCGCTCAACCGCTCCAGATCGCGCTCGCCGTCGCACTTGAGCGACCGGCGGTCGCTGAGTCCCAACGTCCCGCGGAAGTCGCTAGCCCCGCCTTCGCGCTCCAGAAGCCCCACCCCTAACTTCACGTCCACGCACCAGACGCGCCTGGCCACTGGTAAGGCAAAGAACTCCCCCACCACTTCACCCGTCCACCAAGCCAAATACGCCAACGGGAAGAGCCACACCCAGCACATCACCTCCATACAAATCCCAATCGATAATAATAATAGAAATTTGAAATCGGAAGCGTCGTTGCAAGTGAATGAAGACCAAAGCGACACAACTTCGGAAGTTTCAGATGAGGGTTATCGGAGCTTGGGGGCCATCCAAGACAAGTCGAAGCAGAGGATGTCGCTGCACAGTCAGGACTCGGTGGAGGATGCTGAAGACAATGGTAACACGTCAATACTTACTAAAACCCCCAAAACTAACCCATTGATTCCAGAGCATCACCTGGACGGTCCTGACGACACCAACGACGTTGGTCTGCGCAAAACCCAATTCTCGCAACGCATCTACGAAGACGGCAAACCCAAGCCCAAAGAAGCCCCCAAGAAGGAGACGTCTCCTCCCGTCACGCGGGAGAAAAGCCCTTTGCCGAAGGCCTCGCCCAAGAAAAGCGACAGGTTTGGGACCTGGAGCGGGCGGCAGAAGCAAGCCCGCCCTTCGCTCAACCTGGAGACCTTCAGCCCTCCGCTGTCACGGAACGCTCACACCCGCAGAAGCATCACGCCCTCCCCCCACGAAAGACGCTACTCCTCGGCTAGCAGCTCCCCCACGAAGGGCAACCTGAAGCAAGAACTCATCAACACGGTGTACCAAACCGACGACGAAACCGTCATCGTGGAGAAAGTCCAGAAGCTCCTGAAGGAGTACGGGAGTTGGACGAACCTGGACGTGGACGACGGGAACAGGAAGTTCGTGCGAGGGGGGGACCGCATGTCGTACCGAAGCCCTAGGAAAGACTCAAGACCTGATAACAACCTGTCGAGGATTCCCGCACCAGTCCTGTAGCCGATTTTTTACGATTTTGTACCTAGGCAGGGTATTTTTTAAAGGGTTAGAATAGAGTCCGCCTTCCCCTGGTTTATTCACGTTGTTATATTTTGGTGCTACGACTAATTCAACTTCTGGAGATGTGATTTTTTCAAATTTTTATAACGTTATTGTTACGTTTACGATAATTTAGGAGATGAGGAAGTGCTCAATTTTTAAAAATGTTGATGGAGGCGCAGAAAGTCGCGGTTGGAAGATGACGTATATAGAGTGTAGAGATGTGTATAACACTAATAATACTCTTAGTGCATGATTTAACAACTTAAAGTACAGCTAATTTTATGTTAATCATTTTGTATAGACGAACTACTTTCTTATTTAATTTTATTTTTATTTAATTTTTTTTAATAAACTAATTTTTTTATTTTCGTTGGTTTCATGGATCCTGGGTTCCTTTATTTACGTTTGCTTCTTTGAGAGTCATGTCGAGTGTATGCTTTTATAAGAAATAAAACGTAGATTTGACAGTTTTAGTACTTTTGAGTGTTTATTGATTTCCTAGTTGCACTGTAGCGAAACTCCAAGGTCTCGATGGGGAAAATACGGTTCAAGGATGCACTCTAAGCCCAACCCTGTTTTTATTATATGCGACGATCTTTAAAAAGTGACACAAAGGTCAAGGCACGTTTCAGAAGAATGGAACAATTGAAGATGTTTTTGTGTTTCATTCTTCCGGGAACTTGTTTACAAAAGGACTTCTCCAATTTGTCTCAATGGACTAAGTTTTCTTCTTCTCCTTGTGGACATCAGACAGAATATTTGGAAAAATAATCTAGAACGATGGATATTCTTTATTTACGTATGACGTAACTTCAGCTTCTACGGTGTTCCAAGGTCTCCAGGTGGTTCCACACTCTGTTTAATACCTCTTGGAATATTTCAAGAGTTGACGTTATTCCAAAAGCCAAAATCAGTCTTACAGTTTGTCTCAAAGTTTAGAAGATCAATCTCAACTCAATGTCATCTATACAGACTTCTTTTTGGACTTCCAACTGCATCATCCATAAAAATGATGTTCTTAGTTTTTCGGTTTACCCAACACATTTTTATCGTCCAGAAAATTTTCCAGTCATTTTGATTTATAGGTCGTTTAAACTCCAACCAAGTCCGTTTTTTTCGTTTTTTTCTTAGTAGTAGTAACTTTGTCAAAATCATGTGACCTACCTCTTCTAGTTGGAAAAATAGTCGAAAATGTCAAAAGTGCCAAAATCAGATTTATCTTATCAAATATTAGCCCCGCCCACCCACCCTCTGTTTTTTATGAAGATATTTGATTTGCCAAAATCAGCCTTGTCTTAGTACTTAACTAATGGCTCCCCTCTTCTAATTCTAAGGACTCATTTTACTTCTGTAAAATATAAGATCATTCCATCATTTCAGAGCTGATAAAATTAATCACTGAAAAAGAGGGCGGGTGGGTGGGCGGAGCTATTTATTTTTTCAGACGAGTGGTACTGGAAACGAATTATAGAATCTAGAATAGTCTAATTACAAAAGTAAAAAAAAACGCTAATCGTTTTTTTTTTGTTATACTAATATGTGCTATAAAATTTATTTCTTATTTCATGCATGTGACCTGACTTGACTTACCGTGACCTGACCTCTTCTAGTTGGAAAAATAGTCTAAAATGTCAAAAAGGCCAAAATCAGTCTTATCTTAGCAAATACTAGCCCCGCCCACCCACCCTATATTTTCTTGTAAGATATGACATTTGCCAAAATCTGTCTTATCTTGCCAAATATTAGCCCCGCCCACCCACCCTCTATGTTTTTGGAAGGTACTTGATTTGCCGAAATCAGCCTTATCTTATTAAGTACTGGCCCCACCCACCCCCCTCTTCTCATTCTAACGACTCATTTTATTTCTGTTCAGTGTAAGATCATTTCACCCATTCAGAGCGGATAAAACCAATCACCGAAATGGAGACCGGGTGGGTGGGCGGGGCTAATTATGTTCTTCGGTCGAGTGGGAGTGGAAATTAATAGAATCTAGGATGTGAAAAAAGTAAAAAAAACGGTAATCGTAACTTATTTTTGGTCGAATATGTCAAAAGTGCCAAAATCAGTCTTATCTAAGCAAATATTAGCCCCGCCCGCCCGCCCCCTCTTCTCGTTGTAACGACTAATTTTATTTCTGTTGATGAGATCACTACTTTCATTCAAATTGGATAAAATCAACCATTGAAAAGGAGACAGGGTGGGTGGGCGGGACTAATTTTTGTTATACTATTTGTTATAAAATTTATTACCTATTTCATGCACCCGACCTGACTTGACCTAACGTGATCTGACCTGTTATGACTTCTTTATTGTCTCAAATAAACAAATTTTAAACATTTCTGTGAATATATGAAAACCACAAAGTATACTCTTACAACTATTGTTTTTTGTAAAACAAACTTTATTAATAATTTCCCTTTTTATCTACAAAAATTTTATACTGAGCGATTTTGACGGAACTGTAAAAATTGCTATATTTCAATTGGCGATTTTGGAAAAACGGTAGGAATTTCCAAAGAAACGACGCCGAAAATGAATTTTGGATGTCGAAATCTACAAAAAATGTTTTCGGAAATCGTTAAAAAATAGTCGAAAATGCCAAAGTTGCCAAAATCAGTTTCATCTTATCAACTACTAGCCCCACCCACCCACCCTCTGTTTTTTGGAAGGTATTTGATTTGACAAAATCAGCCTTATCTTTGTAGGTACTAGCCCCCCACTCCTCTTCTAATTCTAAGAACTAATTTTACTTCTGTTAAATATAAAATCCTTATTTGATTCAGATCGGATGAAATCATTCTCTGAAAAAGAGGAAGGGTGGGTGGGCGGGGCTAGTTATGTTCTTCAATCGAGTGGGACTGGATACTAATAATAGAATCTAGAATAGTCTAATGAAAAAAGTAAAAAAAAACCATAATCGTATATTTTTTTGTTATACTATTTGTTATAAAATTTATTCCTTATATGTATCATGCACCTGACCTGACTCGACCTAACGTGACCTGACTTGTCGTGACTTCTCTATTGTCGCAAATAAACCAACAAATTTTAAACATTTCTGTGAAAATACCTATAAAAACCACAAAATATATTCTTAAAATAATCGTATTTTGTCAAAGAAAATTTAATAAAAATATCCTTTTTTTTATTTACGAAAACTTTATATCTAGCGATTTTGATGGAATTGTAAAAATTGCTATACTTTAATTAGCGGTTTTCGAAAAACGGTAGGAATTTCTGAAGAAATGAAGCCGAAAGGGACTTCTGGATATCGAAATCTACGCGAAAATGACTTCAACTATTTCGAAAATATTTGAAAAATGGTCGAAAATGTGCCAGAATCAGTTTTATCTTATCAAATATTACGCCCGCCCACCCACCCTCTATTTTTTTGGAAGGTATTTGATTTGCCGAAATCAGCCTTATCTTAACAAGTACTAGCCTCCCTACCCCATTTTTTCGTTCTAACGACTAATTTTATTTCTGCTCAGTATAAGATCATTCATTTCATCGAGATCGGATAAAATCAATCATTGAAAAGGAGGCAGGGTGGGTGGGCGGGGCTAATGATGTTTTTCTGCCAAGTAGGAGTGGAAACTGATAATAGAATGTAGAAAAAAGTTAAAAAAAACGCTAATCGTAATTTTTTTTGTTATACATATATCAACTACTAGCCTAACCCACTCACCCTCTATTTTCTTAGAAAGTACATCTTTTGCCAAAATCAATCTTATCTTGCCAAATATTAGCAGTTGTACCGAGTGTTTTTAACTCTAAACACGTAAAAGATACTGCTTAAACACTGTGACTAAAATTTGTGGTTATGCAACCAACATTACGGAACTTAAATGATCATTTAACAAAGAATGATACCAAATAAAACTCCTGTAGAACTTAGTTTTAAATTGGCTGGTTGGTAGTAGGACTGTGTAATTTTTCTTAACGTAGGCCTAGGTCAGCTTGCTGAAGCCTGATTCTTGTTCAGGAGCTTCGAATTACCGAATTGAGCAAATTTCAAGGAGATCGGTGCATTTTGAGAAAATTCTCAAAATCTGATGATTTCGCGAAATGGGAAAAAAATTAAAATTCTCACATCGAGTTAATATTTTGGTCTAAGGTCAATTCGGCGCTGCTGAATTGATTTTGGCAATCAGTTGTTTGAAATTTCTAACGGTTCAAGAAGAATCCACCTTCCGTTCATATTTTTCGTATGCTCAAAAATTTGTTATTCACTTTGAAAATTCATAACTCGAGAATCACTGACGTTAAGCAGCCAAAATAAAACTGTTCCGTTCCTAAGACTTTTGTGAATTAGAAAAAAAATTGCCAATAGGATGACTTAAGTCGTTTAGTGAAAAAAAACGAATTTTTAGGACTCTGTAATTTTTCTTAAAGTTGGCTTTGGTCAGCTTGCAAAAAATTATTGCGGCTTCAGGAAACAAATCTGAAGGCTGATTCTTGTTCAGAAGGTTCGAATTACTGAGTAGAGCAAATTTCAAAATGATCGGTGTATTTTAAGAAAAAACTTATTCGAATCCTGTCGGAATTTGCTAGATTTTCTTGTATTTTTTCGGATTGCCTTTGAATTCTTTTCATATTCTCCCGAGTCATGATTATTATTTCGTATTCTTCGGATTGTATTCTTCTGTATTTTTCAGGATTTCCTTGAATTCTCTTAGATTCTGTTAGATTTTTTCATTTTTTTTCGGATTTCTCCGGAATCTCATCTCGAATTTTTTTCGGAATCTTTTGTATTCTTTTGGATCCTTCCAGATTTTAATGGACTCTCTTGACTTTTCTAAGATTCTCCCAGATTTTTTCATATTCTCTCGGATTTTTTCGTATGCTCTTATATTTTTCCGGAGTCTTTTTGATTATTTCAGTTATTTTTTTATCTCTGATTGTTTCGTATTCTTTCGGAATCTCCTAGATTCTTTGAGATCTTTCCGGGTTCTCTCGGATTTTCTCAGAATTTGGTCGGATTCTTTCGGATTCTTCCGGAATTTTTCCGATAGGTACTCTCAGAAATCCTTTGTTTTGTATATTCCCGGATCCTATCAAATTTTTTCCGATTCTTTGGGATTCTCTAGGACATTGACCTTATCGTTTCGAATCCTCTTGGATTCTTGCGGAGTCTTTCGGATTTTGTGTAAATTTTTGAAATCTGTCTAATTTTTTGGATTCTGTTGTATTATTTTCGATTATCTCACATTGTCCATACTCCCTCGGATTTTCTCATATTCTCTCATGTTTTTCCGAAGTCTATTGAATTCTGATAGAATCCAAAAGAATCCGAGAATATCCGCGAGAATTAAAAAATAATTCGTGAAAATTCGATAGAATCCGAACTAATCCGTAAGAATTCG